ACTTAATTAATAATAATAATATATAGTTAATTAATATATGTAATTATAGTATAGATGAAAAACCTAGGGGTATAATCGAAAAGTAATTAAAAAGTTGAAGGGTGAAAACTAAAAATATTAAAGGGTTAAAATTGAAAAATAAAATAAATAAAATTTAATTATTTTAATGTATTATATAGGTGGGGGTGTAGAAAATGTAGGGGAAAAGAGATAGGAGGGGGTGGGGTTAGAAAACCCCTAAAAAAAATGGTTTGTGGGAAGGTGAGTGTATGTGAGAGGGTGAGTGTATGTGAGGAGAGGAGGGGTGAAAAAGTGAGTATAAAGGGTATTATGGTCATTTAGAATTTTAAGACTTTAAGACTTTTGCTAAATTTGCTTAATAAGATAGTATAGATGAATGAAACTTCAATGTTACACCTTATTGGTATGTTTTGATTATTACATATTTTTACATATTGCTGGAAATCAACACATGTGGTGTGATAATTGACTCTTGGTTTAAAATTGGGAGCAATAGGACTGTAGGATGTTCTAACACCCGAGGGTTATATATATTTCGCTCACGAATGCGTTTTGTGTGGTGGGCCACTGCCGATAGTGATTGTCGTCTTATCCGGATGTGCATGATTTTTTGGTAACGATTATTGTGTTCAGTTAAATGGGAGGGATGTTGAGCCTAGGTGCCAACTCATGACTAACAAATTTAAAGGTTTTCAAACTAACTGAAATGGGTATGGGTGCCAACTATATATTTAATGATTTAAAAGGTTTTATATGAACTGGTTTACTGCAGCAATTGCACTTCAAGTATTTCCTTACTAGTCCGTATGGTCAACCATCATTTTGTTTTAAAAAATGCATTTACTAGTAGAAAAGTAAGTTTCAGCAACGACGTGCAATAAGCTATTTGTGACGACATGTTGTCTCTAAAAAAACCGTTTATGGTGATAAATTTACTTTTAGCAACGAGAAAATTCATTGCTAAAACCCCTATTTCTTGTAGTGATTAGGAGGTAAATGGAAAATTATGAGACCTAATGAAGAATTCTATGAAGCATGCTTTTGATCTTCATGATATTTTGGGTCATTTTGTATGAAGATGTCATTAGCAAAAAATTGGTAGTAGACTTCAAACAAATGTATAGTTCTATAGAATGAAAACCAGTTTGTAGCCCCGATATTGTGTGTTATTTATAATTTATGTGTTATATGTTTATGTGGATTGACGGGTTGTTACACTTACACCTAGCTATAAAACATAGGTTCTGGAATGAATAAAGGAGGCGAGCTCCTTTTATATGACCCCCACAATTTCATTCTAAACCCTCTAAATTAGACAAATATTAAATAACCTGGCCCTCTAAATAAACCTATAACTAACTTATCAAGTGTATTACAAACCGTAAATTAACCTAAAAACTTTGTTTCAATCTTTTCAAACTACCTACGTACCCAATTAAGAATTTAAGATAGATATTGTTGGTTCTGAGAAATGATTATTTACACATGAAGTGTTTGTAAAAGGGCGTGAATACAAATACAACATAGTTTCAATTTTTAATTATATATTATATATTTTGTATAAAACAAAGAAATTATAGATTTGTTGCGGAAGTTAGGAAGGTAAGACCTGTAATTGTAAACAATATAACTGTGACAAATTTACTAAAACAAATGGTATGGGGGAAAAGTAGTCTTTCAAATCCGGAGAACTATGAAATTTTTCAGAGGATAACGCCGATTTTGTCTAAGAAACACTCACAAAGATGTTTATTCAAAACGACTGAGTTTCATTAAATGACAACAGTGACCTTTTATAGCCACCTTGCCTTAAATGCATATTGTCCAACTTTAATGTGTGCATTCTTCTGCTTTGTTGATCCATGCAACCTAGTACTTTTCATTTTAGCCTTTGAGTTGATATAGACACTTCGTTAACTTATCACATCTTTCTGTATGTCGACGGAACAGTAAATGAAATATGACACTAATAACATAATGTTTTTGTCTTACTTTGGTTGACATGTTGTGCATGTTCTTATACCAAGAAGAGAGTAGATAGTTGGTGAGCCAAACTCTCTAGCAGAGTTTCTACTTCAAGATTCTGTTAGTCAGTAGTATTTGTCAGATTATTA